GGCTGGGTTTCTCCTTATTTGCTTGGACATCGTTCATCTTGGCTCAACGGAGCCTGATGTTCAATGGATTCCGGCATAAATTCGACCACGAAGTCGGCCAAAACTTGGCCTTTAATTACTGTTCTCGACCTGAACTCCTGATCGTACTGGCCCAAGGCCACTGCCCATCTTGCTATTCTTCCAATTAAGTATCCTTGTTGTAACAAGGACTTCAGTGGGTGTTCTGCTAGCACTATAATCTTGTGTGCTTGAAAGTAATGGTTCAGCTTCTTTGAAGCCATTACTAAAGTTAGCGCTAATTTTTCCAAGGGTAGATACCTTGTTTCTGCATTGGCTAAGGTTCTGCTTACATAGTAAACAGCCTTTTGCTCCCATTTTTCTTCACGAATTAATACCGCACTTATTGCATGCTCTGAAACGGCTAAGTACAAAAACAGTTCTTCTCCAGGTTCAAGCGTTGAGAGGACTGGAGCCGTTGTCAGATATTTCTTTAGGTAGGCCAAGGCGGCCTCACATTCCTCAGTCCATAGGAAGTCTGTGGCTTTCTTTACCAGGTTGAAGAAAGGTTTAAATTTGTCTGAGCTTCGGCTTATGAACCTGTTTAGGGCTACGGCCCTTCCAGTAAGCATCTGAACCTATTTTGTCAACGCCGGGCTTTTTAGCTCAAGGATGGCCTTGATTTGATCTGGGCTGGCCTCAATGCTCTTTCCTGTTACTAGGTACCCCAAAAATTTACCTGATCCAACTCCAAACGCCCATTTCGATGCATTGAGTCGGAACCGGTATGTTTTGAGTATCTCAAAGACCTCTTTTAGGTCGGTAAGATGACCCCTTGGTTCCTTGATCTTCACGACCATGTCGTCAATGTAGACTTCCACTGTTTGGCCAATCAGATTTTTGAACATCTTGGTTACCAACCTTTGGTAAGTTGCTCCTGCGTTTTTCAACCCAAAAGGCATTACCTTGTAACAATGCAGTCCTTTCGGGGTGATAAACGCAGTCTTCTCTTCGTCTGGGGGGTACATGGCTATCTGGTGGCATCCTCTGTAGGCGTCCAGGAAGCTCATCCTTCCATGTCCAGATGTGGCGTCTACCAACTGGTCAATCTTGGGTAGAGGAAAGCAGTCTTTGGGACAAGCTTTGTTCAGGCTTGTAAAATCTACGCAGACCCGCCATTTACCGTTCTTCTTCTTTACCACTACTGTGTTGGATAGCCATGTCGGGTAATGAACTTCTCGAATGGCCCTGGCCTCCAGAAGTCTGTCCACTTCTTCTTCTACTGCTTCGACGTACATCAACGTCGGTCTTCTGGCTCGCTGAATCACAGGTTTGCCGACCTGTCGACATTCAGTCTATGGCAAGTGACCTCGAGGTCAATGCCAGGCATTTCGTAAGGTGTCCAGGCGAACACCTCAATGTTGGCTCTTAAAAAAGTTTCCAATTCTTTTTCTTTCTCGTCCCTCCGTAGGCACCTATCCCTCCATACCTGAAGGTTGTCTTCGTGATAGTACTTGCCTTGGTCTGTCCTCTTTGAAGTGTCGCCCTCCTGGCCGACGTCTTTCTCTCCGTGGCCCTGGTCATGAGTTTCTGCATTATGGTTGTCTCCTTCAATGTCAAGGTCAATTGGTCTTCCACTCCCAGCAGGAGTGTCGCCCCCAATGTTTTCCTTCTGTCCGTTACTGGCCATCTATTCTTCTAAGTTTTCCACAGACGACGCCAAATTGTGTGGGTAATTTTCTGACCACACTGCCCGCCTAGTAATCAGCTGGAAAAGCACTGGCAGAATAGATGGCTTTAGCTAACCTGTAACAGAAAGAAAAAGCTCCGGCGGTGGCTCTTCCACCCGGGGGCACTCCGACGATCAAGTCAGTATATCTCTCAAAGATAATCAAGTGCTTAAACTTACTACTCGAAGCATAAAACTGCATATCTTAAACCCACGGGGGTGCCTCTCTTTTTATAGCCAACTCGATCCTAATCCCACTAGAAGCTTGACTTCTATGAATTCTTGTTCTGTACTTACTTTGGACTCCTCAAGAGATAAAGATAAATTCCCTAAGAGCTTTATCCTTATCTTGGCTAAGTCTCCTTTTTACTCTAGGACTCTTGTCCCTTATCCCTTATCCGCTTATCTCGGATTCCGATATCTTCGGAGATAATCTCGGCCTTACAGAGATAACCTCGGCGTCATAACTCGGACACGTGGCACTTCGGCTGACACTTCAGTGACACCTCGGCCACATGTTGGTATTCAAAAAATACATCCCCACACATGGATTAAAGTCTCGCCCACCTCTTTGTGTAATTTTTTTTTAAAAATAAAAAACATTGTCCTGTGATATGAGGAGAGAAAGACTTCACTACACCTATTGAGGGTTCATTGAGGGTTTTACTTAGGGAGTGTTTGATAATATAATTGAACACTTAAAACTGGATGTATTAAGTAATAATCAAATAAGTTCATTTGATAATCATAATTGATATCATTTAAAAATTTAATGCTGCGTTTGGTTTGAGTGTGAAATTATGATTCCACACTCAAAATTTTCAAAATTCATAAACAAACACACAACTCAAAATTACTCAAAACTCAATTCAAAAATTAATTTCAAAACTCATAACCAAACACACAACTCAAAATTCAATTTAAAACTTTTTTCAAAATTCAAAACCAAAACTCTTTTCAAAACTCTATTTTTAAAAAAAAAATTTAAAAATATTTTTTTATTTTGTTTTTTAAAATTATTTTAGAATCATGATTTCAGTGTTGTCTTTTAAAATTTTTTGGATTTATTTTTTTAAATATTTAAAAATTTTCTTACTTTTATTTTTTTAGTATAAATATTTTATATTTTAAATATTTATTTATTTATTTTATTGTGCACTATATTTTATACATTTTTGTGCTGCATTTTTTTAAATATTAAAAAAAAGAAAAAAAATAATTTTTATTTTAGAGCTTTGAAAGTAATGTAGAGTTTTGAGTTATATTGTTTGTTATGAGTTTTGAAAATAATTTTTAAATTGAGTTTTGAGTTATATGTTTGGTTACAATTTGAATGTGGTGGTGTTTTGAGTTTAAAATATTAAAATTAAAAATTAAAATATTTACAAAATAAAATAAAATATTTAAAATAAAATTATACATTAAAAATAAAAATAATAAAATTTTCTTAAACATTTTTTTACTATTTTTTTAAAAATCCGAAAAATTCAAAATACAACTCAAAATTCAAAAACTCAAAACTCAAAATACAACTTAAAACTCTTATCAAAATTCAAAATTTAAAAACTTTTTTCAAAATTCTTTTCAAAATTCATAACCAAACAAAATTTTTCTTTTCAAAACTCAACTCACAATTCTACACTCAAATCACAACTTCAAAACGAGAATCACAATTCCAAAACTAAACCAAACACTATCTAAGTATCTCTTAAAATATAGCATAAAATTTAAGAAATTTTTAAGTCATGAAACTTATTTAATTCTGATTGAATTTATGAATACTAAATATAAGTATCAAATATACATTATTATAAACTCACCACCACTACCACCATCACTATTGCTACCACCACCACCACAGCCACCATCATGTCGCTGTTACTGTTACTACCACTACTTCCATCACCATTGTCATTATTGCCATAAGCACTGCCATCATTTTGCCACCACTATTATCGCTAGTGCCACCGCCGCCAACTCTATCACTACCATACCATCACCTACCACTACTATCACTACCATCACAATATAAAAAATAAAATATATAATTTAAAAATAATAAATTTCAAATTTAATCATATACATATCAAACAATTTATTTTTAGTTCAACACTTAAATTTTTATCAAACAATTTTTTAACTTAAAATCTAAACTTAAACAACGATTTATTTAATAAGCGTGTTGTGGTTGAAAGTGTTTGGGTCACGATAGGAAGGGATTTGACTTGGGTCGTTGCGGTGGCTAGGGAGTTTGGGTTGACAATGTTGTTGGCTAGGATAAGGCGGGGTTGGGGTGGAGGAGAGGGGTAAGGTGGGGGAGTGGCAGGGATGATGATTGGAATTGCAAAGGGAAAAAAAAGAAAAAAAAAAGAATATTTTGATAAATTTACTGTGTGTTTTTTTCCACCTTTCCTTTAATTAATTTGTTTTTCATCTGACCCTAGTGTCAATTTTCTTGTATTTTCATTTTTAACAAAGCTTATACACCAACAAAAAACAAAAAGGGGAAAAAAAAAGAAAAGAAAAAAGCTTATTCAATTTCATTTTAAGTGGTTCTCTCCATGGAAAGATAACAAAATTATCATCTAAAACTACAAATGAATCGAACTGTTTGCGAGCTAACTTGTCTCGTTAAGGGCTCAACTTGTTTAGTAAACGAGTTGAATTCAAGTTTGAATTTCATTAATATTAACTAGTTAAGCCGAACTCGAGCCTAGTCTGTTATCGAGCTGATCTTGAACTCAATAAACGAACTCGATAAGTAAATGAATTAAGTTTGAACTCAGTAAAACTCGACTCGACTCGTTTATAGCCTTACTATCAATTTCTTATGCGTTTCTGGGACTGACCCACCGTGACAGTCTACTGTTATTATCCACGACATCAAAAATTTAGCATGTGAAGGGCCTATCTCTTTTTCTTAGAGTGGAGTATTTCAAATTCAAACCTATAATAATGTCGTCTCTTTCACTCATCCTCCTCTTCTTCTCCCTCTTCATTCCTTCTTCAACATTGGCAGCTTTCCTCTCTCCCATCACCAAAGACCACACAACCCGTCTATACACACTCTCAATCTACCTCAAAACCTTTCTCCACCAAACTCCTCCTCGACCTTGGCGCCTCCTTCACTTGGGTCGACTGCACCCTCAACTACACCTCCTCCACCTACCACTCCATCCCCTGCTCCACCCCTCTCTGCGACTCCCTCCACTCCCTCGCCTGCTCCAATTGCTTCTAACCCCCCTCTCCTAGCTGTGCCAACAACTCATGCACCATGTTTCTCGAAAACTCCATCACTCGCCAAGCCATCGTCGTAGAGGCCTTGGTCGACTCGCTCGCCTTGCCCACCACTACCGATCCGGGTCGACTTGCCCGAATCCTCGACTTCGTCTTCTCCTACTCCAAAACCTCTCTCCTCAAGGGTCTCACCAAGGGGGTCACCGGCCTCGCTAGTCTAGGCCACTCCAACATCTCACTCGCTGCACAGGCTAGCACCGCCCTCTCTTTGCCATTCTTGTTTGCGCTCTGCCTCTCCGGCTCCCGCTCGACTCCAGGAGTCACGTTTTTTAATGCCGGTGGGCAATACTATTTTCTTTCCAAAATTGACCTTGCGAAGTTTCTCATTTACACTTCACTCGTTTTGAACCCAGTAGCAAACACCATAATAACTTACCTACACCCGTCTGATGAGTATTTTATTGGAGTCAATGCTAAAAAAGTCAACGAAAAGGACGTTCAGATTAATAAGACATTGCTAACCATTGATGAGAATGGTTTTGGTGGGTCCAAGATCAACACCGTCGCTCCTTATACAGTTCTCCAGACGTTGATTTACAAGGCTTTTAATGAGGCGTTTGTGAAGGAATCCATTGGGCTCAACCTCACGGTAACGAAACCTGTGAATCCATTCAGTGTGTGTTACGGAGCAGTGGATGTGCTGAGTACGTGTGTGGGACCGGCTGTGCCGACCATTGATCTGGTGATGCAGAGCAATGATGTGTTCTGGAGGATCTTTGGTGCGAATTCGATGGTGAGGATTAAGAAGAAGGATGTGGATGTGTGGTGTTTGGGGTTTGTGGATGGTAGGATGTCATGGACCGACTCTTTTAGAGGCGTAGTGGATCAATTTTTCGCCTGTGTGGCGCTCAAACTCCACCAAGTTTAAGCCCGCTATAGCTCATTGACAAATCGAGTGTTGATGGTCTCACCTATTTGAATATTAGGGCCCAATGCTTTGTCAAGCAAAACAACTTCACTTGGAAGCTTCGTCTTCACCCGGATGCCACAAGTAGGCCTAGCGCCTCAAGTGTACCAAGCACGATATAAGTCGCTTCATAGCGCCAAGCTTACCTCAGCAAGGTGCTCGCCCAACTTAGGTTTATGTCACCAAGGTAACAATGTGTTAGCGAAGGCCCTCGACTTAGCCAACAAGCCACCATTGCATGTTGGGTCTTTAACAGCATCTCTAAGTGTCGTAGGGTCAAGCATGCCTTAATAGATGCATATTGGATGGCCACTTGGTCATGCGAAGCCCACAAGCCACCGAAGGTCAATCTCTTGCTCACGGCGTAGTCCTCATGCCAACATGTGTGTTAGATTCCGCCTAAGGCCATTGCACACCTTAGCATTGCACCAACGTGTAGCATGAGTAAGGCAACGTCTCAATCCGTAGCTTGCTTGTAACATAATGTAGTCCCTTAATAGACTTGGTCAATACATAGCTTGATGCCTTCATTCAATAGCCCACATATGCAGTGTCGCCTTCTAACCGCTTAGCTTAAGCTATGAGATCCCCTCGTGCAAGGTTGAATCCAAACCAAGCACTTGAGTCCGCACACGAGGCTTTTAGTGGTGCCTCGATAGCCCATTCGGTCCAAAACGAGTCCCGAAGATGCCATATTGCGTGGCATAATAAAAACAACGTAGTGAACCTTTTCCTCGGGAAGGTGCGCGCAGTGCCTACATTATTGCACCATCCACGGGACTCCCAAACTCACGTGGAGACTCTAGACACCACTCTGGATGCCTAACGCCTGCCCTTGAGTTGCCCCAAGGTTTCTTACTTGAAGCCTAGTCTGGGTGGGAAGGTAGGTAGGTAGGTAGCACACATTGCTCCCTTATATATGCTTGTTAAGCAATTAGCCCTCTGGCAGGAGGAAACATCAATATGTCTAAGGAGTCATAATGATTTTTCATAAATTCTACAAATTGAGAAAAATCATGAAACTTGGTCGGGAAAACACTTCCCCCAAGACCTCTTTCCAGTAAAAATTTCAACTCGAAACTCCTTCATTTGGATGCCCAAACAACACACCAAAAATTTGCACTATTGGCTACTGTTGCTAGCTGCTACTGCTGTTAGCCGTGTGCTGCTACTGGTGGCCCGCATGCCTTGGGTTGCTTGGGGCCAATGTTAAGCTACGTTGAGGCACTTCCAACGGCCACTCTTGAGCACTCAAATGGCCATACCACCGCAAGCGAAACGTCACGGAGTTAGCCTTGTGAGGCAACCCGTGACATGGGGCCAACCCGAGGACGTCGATCGTGATCGGAGGGCTTCAGATGGAGGATAATCTTCTAGAGTTTGATGTGGGCTTGAAGAGACTTGGATTTACTTCTTTAGTCTTGCTTCACGGTACCACGTGTACTAACTTCAACTTCACTACCAAATAAGCATTAGGTTATTTTGATTTTATTTTAAAATTGTACTATTTAAATTCACAATAAGTTCAAGTCAAACACAAAATGTGTATTTAAATTCACAATAAGTTTAAGTTAAACACAAATTGTGATAAAGTCGTGTGACATTTATGTTTTATGTTTGATTTATGTGTTTTTAGCATAATTTTAAATTTTAAATTATGGATAAATTACACTGATATCTTCTGAAATTTGAATTTAATATGAATTCCACTCTCACATCACATTCTGAATATTACAATCCCCTTTGTAAAATTTAAAGTTACATTACAAATTGTCTTCTCCATTAAGTGACTTTTTAGTTAACTAATAATTTTTGCTACTCTCAACTATTAATTTTTTTAAATATTAATTTTACCGTCATTTTATTTATTTGCTCTCACTATATTTCCTTTCTTCATACATACTGTAGCCATCACTATTGCTCCATAATTGTCCACTACTGTCACTGTACCACATTTACTAGGATTTGGAGTGGTTGTTGTGCAGTGAAATGAGCTCATTTGAGGGCTTATTTCGATAATTCAAACCATTCACATTTATGCTCTCTATCACAACCTCTGAAACCCATTACCACCAAATCAACATCCAAATCCACAAACCTCTGAGGAAGACGATAGTGGCTCACGACTGCATTTAGTAACATTCCAATGGTATATTGAGCAACAAGTCAATGGTAGCTCATGGTTTTACCAGAGAGAGAGAGAAGATGGTGGCTCACGGTTTTACCAGAGAGAGAGAGAAGATTGGTAAAACCGTGAGCAACCATCGGCTTGTTGCTAAATACACTATTGGAATGTTGCTGAATATAGTCGTGAGCCACTATCATCTTCCTCGGAGGTTTGTGGATTTGGATGTTGATTTGGTGGTGATGGGTTTCAGAGGTTGTGATAAAGACATGGAATTTGGGTGTTGATTTGGTGCTGATGGGTTTCATAGATTGTGGTAGAGACATGGAATTTGGGAATTGAGACAATATTGTTGGGTTTGGTGGCAAATTGGCACTAAGACAATATTGGGGTGGGTTATGGCAAGTAGACTAACATCGCCATTGTTACCCACTGCTGCCATTTTTCAACTAACCATCACTCTACAATTACATCTTTTATTGCCCAACTTGTATGCCCCATTGGCATTATCACCTCTATAGCCCAGCAAAAAGTTGTACTCTGTAATAAATTCAAAGCTAAAGAACTGTTCAATAATTTGTTACTCAAATTTCATAAGAATACCACAACTGCTCGAGGGTTGATGAAGAGAGCCAGTGGCGGGGGTAATAGGGAGGTGGTGCTGAGGATAATTTGTTTCATTTTAGTGTAAGAGCATCTCCAACAATCTCTCTAAACTCACCATTTACCTATTTTAAGGGGTTGAAATCGCTTTATACTCTTCCAGCAGCTTCCCTAAACAATACACTAAACTAATTTTTACTACAGTGACTCCCTATTTGTAGGGAATCACTGTAGCTCCCTTATATCTGATAAATTCTTATTTTATTTCGTTGAAGGCATGAAGGGGAAGTTCCCTGGATGTTCCTTGGACGTCCCCCCGGACATCTCCCGGATGTCCGTGAGTGCCCTGTAGTTGAAGAAGAAAAATGCTCAAAAATGACCTAACCGATTGACCGCTTGGTCATCCGGCCGATCGACCTTCCCTATTTGTTTTCCTCTGCTGTGCTGCTAGCGTTTGGTTGGCTTTTCATTATTTTATTATTAAAAAAAGATTTAAATTTAAAAGTAATTTAAAATATTATTTTAATAGAATAGAGAAAGAATATAGAGTTTGATAGAAAAAGCAAATGAAAAAATGATTTCTAAAATAGAGAATGAATTTTTTAATAATATTTTAAAATAAAATTTAAGTAAACTGTTAGGGATGCTTTAAGGATAGCAAAGTTATTTTACATTTTATACTACCTCAATTAAGGCTAGGTTTGGCAAGTCCCAAAAAATTTAAAAAGCCAAAAAGTTATACAAAAAGCAAAAAAGTCATTACTATTCACAAATAAAAAATATTAAAAAAATATTTTATACATTTTTGTAATACAAAAGTTTGAATTACACTGTCAGCCGTATTGACAGGAAGGCAGGTCATACACTTTTTTGAGCAAAAAAAAAAATTACATATGTAAAGCCACAAAGTTTGATGGTAATGTTAGGCCCTTGGGGGCCCACTAAGGGTTCCGTTTTAATAATCCGAACCGTTCAATATGTAGAACTCGTCGAGTACTATGTGATTATAAAAAATCACTTTAACCAGATATCGTTAACTATATGATCAAATCAGTTTTGTATAAACAAAACGGATGGTGTGATAGTTAACTATTGAAAAAAAAACTAATCCGATCATATAGCTATCGATATCCGATCAACGTGATTTTTTACAGGCATATAATACTCGACGAGTTGTACATATTGAACGGTTCAGATTATTAAAATGGGACCCGTGGTGAACCCCACAGACCGACCATCACTGTCCAAATACTTTGCCCCGAAGGAGGTAATAATTTGCTGTGTAAGACAAACCGTACAATCTACTCAACTTTCTTCCGCTATACGCGTTATTTATATAATTTTTTATTACACATTTTTTCGTAAAAAGACAAAAAATTAACTCAAGCATCCTTATTTTTTTCTCAATTTTTTAATTTAAAAAGATAAAAAATATACTTATTTAAGACACCTCAAATAATTCCTAAAAAATAATATAATTTAAAAAAAAAATCTATAATAAAGTCAAATCTCAAAAAAGGTTCGGTGTAATTTTTCTTTAAATTATTCATGTTTGTTAGTTGATTTGAAATAAAGTTTAATCCAGCTGTGTATGTGCACATGTAAAGCTTTCAAAATATCTCTAAATTTGTCCTAAAAAAATAAAAATAAATAAATAAATAAATTTATAAATAGATAATAAACATATTATAAACAAAAATATGACTTGGATTCCAATTCACCGACATAAAAGTCGTATATATGTCAATGTATATATGAGTAGGTAAATCATTTAGACCGGACGAGACAAACACATGTGGAATAATAAATGGACATAAATCATAATGGTCAATATGACTGAGTCCTATGGGAAGTTGGGGTGCTGCTGTGCACCAGCACAGCAGGTAATGTTATACGATTTTATGGGTTTATTTCTGGCTTTGTTTTGATAATTCGAATCGTTTATATTTTAAAGTATATCGAGTAGAATATATTTATAAAAAATTAAGTTAATCGAATATCGTTAACCCTTTCATCCACTCACATTTGTATTTTAAAAAATAAATGACATTATAATTTAAGATATTAAAATTAATATGAATGTGAGTAGATAAAAGGGTTAACCGATTAACTTAATTTTATACAAATATATTTTACTCGATATATTTTAAAATATGAACAGTTCAGATTAACAAAACAAACCCCAAAATAAGTCTACAAAGCCACATAGCAGACACCCTAACTCCGTCCTGTGGCATATCTAATGAAATAATTTGATTTTATATATGAATTATATAAACATAATAATATAAAATGAACTTCTTAACTTATTAAAATAATATTTGTAAATTTTTTATGTTCAATCTTTTAAGATTATAATAATATTCTCACATATTAGTTAAATTCGTGATTTGAATAAAATTAACTCCGCTTCTACAATAATAACTTCATAACAATGACTTTAAAATAGGTCAAAACAAATAAAGAAAAGAAGATCAAAGTCCAAGAACCGAAGACAGAAAGATGAAACTCACAAGATATTCATCCCCAAATAAACTAGGATATGGGTAAGCCACTACCGGTGGCCCACATGACCACTACCCCTTTGAGGGCCCACCCCGACAAGCTATATCAATTCCATGGTAGCAAAGCAATCTGGAATGTTGTTCACATGATCATAACAACCACCACAACATGCAGGAGCTGCAGTGGCAGCGGATCCAACTATCTTTTTACTCTTGGTGGTGTCAGTTTTACGACCCAAATTGCAGTTGTGGTTATCGAAGGTCATCTTCATGTTCTTGGAATGGGTTAGCTCCACTTGTTTCAGGCGATTAATTTGTGACAATTGAAGAAGCCGTTTGGCATCCTTATGCTGATCAATGCCTTGAACTCACGTGGGTTGAGCAGCTTGCATAGTTTGGTTGTGGTTGTTCATTTCCGACAACAGCTCTGCTTTCTTTCCAGCTTTCCCCAGCATCGTTATGATCGTGTGTGGATCCACAGTGCCAGATATGGTTACCTTCCCTTGTTCTGCATCTATCTTAATTGAGTACACTCCTAGCTAAAAAAGAATGCATAACTAAATAAATGAACAAAACAAAGGAAATGTATGGTGTCTAATTAAATCAAATACACCAGCATGGATGGACACTCACTCACAAAAGGCAACTCCAAAGAACTGGAAATTACCGTTAATGTATAGTGGCTTTCTTGCTCTAGGCACACAAGGGAGTTCAATTCAGTTGAGCAGCATGTATCATGCCAAGATGCACTGCCTTGCCTTTTATTGGACATCCATTTATTCACAATCTCCCATTGGGCCAAAACTTTAGCTTGCCAGAGACTGCTGGTGCTGCCATTGTTGCTATAGATCCCAGTACAGTACCGTGAAACAATAACAAATAAAGATTGCATTTCCTATTTCCAAATCACACTAATGAAGAGTGAGTTGAGGATACAATCAAACAAATTAAAAGAAAAACATCTTATGTGATTTCGGGAATTGTTTTAAAGATCTTAATTTAGCAATTTGCATCAACTACACAGGTTGTGTTCTACTAGTCAGTGGTGACAATAAAAAGAATTCCCATAGCAAAATTATATACTGAATGAAATTCTTAGCACACATTCAAAGGGAATAATCTGGTACATTTATGTCAAATAGGGCCAAATGTAATTTTACAGAAGATGTCTAGTACAATGAGTAAAGTCAACTTGGAAGCGTTCAGAACTCAAACCAAGCCTTCCTCACATTAACAGCCCGCCTTCCACACATTAAAAGCCTTTTATTTCAATTGCTTAATACATGCAAAGATTGGGTAATTCCTAATTAAACCAAAAGAGAGCCTTCAGTTACAGTGATGGCTTTCCCCCGAAGTAATACTCTCTGATTCTTTTCATCTAAATGGAGGTTTAGAATGCCACCTCTAGGTGATGCCTACATCAAATAAACAAAATAATTAATGAATGGGCAAAAATCGCAAGTGATGCGCCTGCGCACAACTGTGTGTGTGTGTGTGAGAGAGAGAGAGAAATTTTACCTGATATGCAACAAAATCACATTTCCCCAGCTTTTTAGACCAATAGGCTGCTAAGGCACAATGTGCACTCCCACAAACATGATCCTAAAAAATAACAGCAAGTAACATATGGGGGAAACTGTTGAATGTAAGTTCTTTATATTTTGAGCATCACAATTAGTAATCCGGCAAAGGAGGATTATGCCAAAAATATGTCATGCAATAGAGAGAGAGAGAGAGAGAGAGAGATTTTACCTGATATGCAACAAAATCACATTTCCCCAGCTTTTTAGACCAATAGGTTGCTAAGGCACAATGTGCACTCCCACAAACATGATCCTAAAAAATAACAGCAAGTAACATATGGGGGAAACTGTTGAATGTAAGTTCTTTATATTTTGAGTATCACAATTAGTAATCCACCAAAGGAGGATTATGCCAAAAATATGTTATGCCAAAAATAAGTTCTTATTTTTTCTCATCAGCTTTCATTTAATTATTATAAACAAAAACTTCCCACTTAGAGAGACACCTAGAAAGATGAAATGAACTGATTTAAATCATAAGGTAGTTTGGGACCAAATGCCAATTTATTACCTCATTGATCCCCATTTTAGGACCAAAGACGCGACTAAAAAAGTCAAACCCGGATCCAGGGGGAGCAGGCCCTGTAATAATGACTATCCTTCCAGGGCATCGTTGTATCTCATCAAATTGGGGCAGTAGATCTGTAACAGCCTTTCCCGACGGCAGCACAACCTGCCAAAATGCATTTACATTCACTTTCTTTCAAGTACAAAATGAATACCCATGAATCAGTTCAAGTTGACATCCCTCTTTGAGAGACATCCATGAACCAACTAAAGTTTGAAGAGAATTACTCAGAACATCTTAGAAAACACATCACTCCCACCATTTAATTCTAAAATTGAATGATTACTCCCATTTGATGAGGGTCTGGGAGGGGATAAATTGGGTATAGACCTCACCTTTGGCATAATTTGCACACCCTTTTAATCATTTACTTCAAATACAAAGTTGCATAATTATGAATAATTAAGAAAAGAGTGCAAAAGCAATGCATACAATGAGGTCTTCTTCAGTAGTCGTAATCTTTAAGTCAATCACAGAAGCACCACCCAAGGCTTTAGAAATTGATGGAACCTCAGCAGAGTCAAAATCAGCAAGTGGAACTTTTGGAAAATCCAACTCAATTAAAAAGCAATCTTGTGATTCTGGAACTCTTTTAGCAATCAAAACTCCAGACAATGTCAGAAACTCTATTCTGTTGGCATTTACCAAACCAGAAGTGAATAGAAAATGAGAAGCTGCCAAGGTTCCATGACCACAAAGTTTAACCTGCAACATGAAAATTTCCTGTGTCCAGATTAAATTACTCACTACCATGGACTTAGCAACTGAAACACAATCCTCAATTATCACACCTTGTGATGTATAAGAGCATCTCCAATCCTCACTATCTTGTTTTCATCAAATTTGAGTACATATTTGTTTAAAAGCCTGATCCGATATGATCATTTTGCCATCAAATCTTCCTAAAAAATTCCAGACTTATCTTAAAATTCTGTTTTAACCATTTTTGATGAAAGAAAACTTCTCCAATCTTTTACTTTTTTAAAATTTCATCAAATTTGATTGAAAATATGACTATTGGAAATTTGATGAAGGATTTGGTTCATCTTTGACTTGGTAAAAAAAATCTCCCTTGATTTCATACAGATTTGATGAAATGATTGGAACACACATTTAGCCATTTTTTCATCAAATATGAATTTGATGAAGAATTGTATAAATACTTTCAAATTAAAGTTGAAAAGAAAGCAGGTAATAATCTAAAATCAAGCAATCAAAATTTAAAGAAATCTAACACCAAAAAAAAAATAAGTCTACAATTATAAGTGATTTGAGTAGCCAAATGAGAAGATTGCGCAATTCGGAAGGGGAATTCGACGTTATATTTCTTTTTTTTTTTTCTTTTTCCTGGATTTCTCAGCAACCAAACGGATCATTCAGGAGGAAAAAAAACAGTTCTATATTTTTTTCAAACTTTGGACGATGGTGAAGTGACCTCGGTAGCTGGAATGAACCATCGGAGGCGAAACCGAGCGTTCGTGGATGAGTGGTTATATTTCTTTTTTTTTTTCTTTTTCCTGCGATTTCTCAGCAACCAAACGGATCATTCAGGAGGAAAAAAAACAGTTCTATATTTTTTTCAAACTTTGGACGATGGTGAAGTGACCTCGGTAGCTGGAATGAACCATCGGAGGCGAAACCGAGCGTTCGTGGATGAGTGGGACGAGTCATGAGTCTCCGACTCGAAGTCAGTGATCCGAGTCAAGAAACAGACCATGGGGAGGTTGAACTCACCAGCAACAGTTCGAAACCACTCATAATCGTCTCTCTCTTCCTCCAACAAACATACAGCTGCTGGGTTTCCTTTGAAAGGCAAGTCGGTGAACGCGTCCACCTAATTCCACAACTCAAATCAGTGAGTCACACACACAACAACAACAACAACAACAAAATGGACAAAATCAAGATGACAGAGAGAGAGAGAGAGAGAGAGAGAGAGAGGATCACCACACAGTATTTAACAGGCTTCTTTCCCATCTTGAGAGAGAGAGCGCCTGAGGAGGCAGGTGAACACAAAACAAGCCGTTTTGGGAAGGGACATAAAAATCTACGTTTTTTATCATTTTCCAAAAACGTATGTGGTCAAAAACGCAACAAATTTGATTTGGAAAGGGCAAAAAAGCAGGCGTGAAATTATAAATTAGGCTCTATGGTAAAAAAATAATTTTTTTATGTTGGATAAAGATATTTTAATTATTTTAATTTGATTTGATATCATAAATAAATATTAAATTAAAAAAGTAAAAAGTGAGTTTTTTACTAACTTTTCAAATTATTTTTTAAAAAGTTAATTCGGTAAAAAGTTAAAAGTCAATTGTTTACCAATTTCTCAAAACACCCAAAAGAGCTGTTGGAAGTTTAATTTGGAGTGCTGGGTCTATTTATACTAGTTTCTCGTCCGCTTTACCTGGCCTGCTTGGGGCATGTTTGGTTGCTGCGCGTCAAATGCTCCATTCATTGGCTAGGGCTTTCTTGTACCGGTTAAGGTAATCCGAGTTCTAAAGTAAGAGAAGATTATTTATATCTTTAGATTTTAACGTTGTATTTGATTAAGAGATTTGAAAAAAAAAATGTATGTGAGAGGGAAATTTTTGGTGAAAATTGGGCCGAGCTATGAAATGGACTTTATGGCCCCAAAGTACGAAGGACCAGGTAAAATGGGCCGAGAAGTTACTCCGGCCCATGAGAAATAAAGTTACTTCGGTCAAAAGAGGTGAAGTTACTTCGGCTCTGGAATTGTAAAGCTACTTCGGTTTGGACAACTTGAGTTAGTCCGGTCTCCGAGTTAGTCCGATAGATCGGTCAAGACCTTGCTACTCGGTAGCTCGACCCCAACATATCATGGTTCATGCATGGGAGAACCGAGATGAGGAGTGAAAGGAAGGGCCGAACTAAGGATAGTTCGGCCTACCTCGTGGCTCAGCTTAGCCAGTTTACTTCGGTTAAATAGTAGTTCGGACGTAGGTAAAACCATCCCACTTGGTTTAAGCAGTGGGGGGTGTAAAAAGATAAGCATTATCCTTTAGGAGTATGAATCCTAGGAGGACTCTGCATGGAGAAATAAAAGTCCTACTAGGATTGTGCCACTCGAAACCTATAAAAGCTCACAAGCATCACCTTGGAGGAGGTAACATAACACAACACGGGAAACTTATAAAAGCCTACAAACATCACCTTGGAGGAGGTAATTGAACACAATCTTTCTGAGAACATTGAGTTTTGTCTATTTGTCAAGTTTTCTGACTTAGGCATCGGAGAGGTTTCCGGCACACACCCGCCGGCTAGCTTACGTTTGTGTTTTCAGGTGACAAAGCGACGTCGTACGGAGGAGCGTGGACTTAGTCAACAGGATTATACGAGGAGAATTATTTATTTCCCATACAATTGACGCCGTCTGTGGGAAGAACAGACAAGAACAAAACCTCTTGATTAAAGCTTCTCCCCTTTACAATCAATGGCACACATTGAAGAATTGCCGCAGTCCGCCGTCGACGGACTCACTCCTGATGGGGGCGCAAGGCGTGAAGGATTACCTGTTGTCCCTCCCATGGCGGACTGGAGCCCCAACGACATACCTCCAGGAGGGATGCTAGGGGAAGGCGGAATAATAGCCCCCATCGCTCTCATTCACAAAGTCCAGACAGACAAAGACTAAGAATTGACCCTCAAGCTCTGGAAGATCGCGTGAAAGAGCAAGATGAATTGATAAAGAAGATGGCGGCGGACATGGAGGCCTTGAAACGCCAGATGAAGAAAAAAGAAGTGGCGACAGGAGAGGGGCGCAAAAACAAGACGCCCCCTCGCCACTCAGAAAATCGTAGTAGGAATACTACACCCTCGCAAGGAGAGAGCAGAAGCCTCAGGACAGGCGACACTCAATCCTGGTCTTCCAGAACTCGTCACTCCGGGTCTGAGAGGACGAGATCTGAAAGGTCATACACTGAAGGAAGCACATATTGGCCCTCGCATTCACACCAAACCAGATCTAAATAGACGGAATTACCCAGATCATCCGACTTACGAACCGTGCTCGAAGAGAAAGCACGATGCAAGGAGGATGCCAGGGCAAGGGATCCACATAGAGTTTCAGCCTTGCAGCGGTTGACTTCTCGGACGCATGGAAGCGTCGAGGTTGGAATGCCAATACCACGCCCTGCCTATGAACCGACGGACAAGGCATTAGCAAGGCTGCAGACTTCACCGTTTGTTCCAGCGATCGAAAACGCGCCCCTACCATCAGGCTTCCTTCAGCCGAAATTCACTACATATGAAGGGAAGACGGATCCCTACTCACACTTAAGCCATTTTCGCCAAGTCATGGCTGTATACAGGCGAAACGAGGCCTTAATGTGCATACTCTTCCCATCAAGACTTGGCGACCTAGGCTTGACGTGGTTCGAGAAACTACCAGAAGGCAGCATAGCCTCTTGAGCATAATTGGCAGAAGCCTTCGTGACAAGGTTCCGAACAAACACAAAAACACCGGTAGAGATCGACCAGTTACTCTCCATCGACATGGGGGATAAAGAGATTAGATCCTACAATAATCGTTACTGGGAGACATTCAATCAGATTGGGGACTGCCCCACCAATCTC